GGGACTGCGGGACCTGCTCCACCTGCCTCCTGCAGCTGCCCCGGACTGCGGGCTCTGGGCTCTCCTGCAAGTGTGAACAGAGACGCTGCCTCCGGATTGTGGAAAGAGTGAGTCAGACACAGGCAGGTGGGGTACGACCCTGGTTAAGATCCTTAGGCCCTTGACCTCATGCCACCTGGCCCCCGGCCCCTGACCCTCATGCTCCTGGTCCTGCCCGTCACGCCTCCGGCCCAACCCACAGAGCCGAGGGTGTGGAGTGTGCCGGGGCTGTCAGACCCGAGAAGACTGTGGCCGTTGCCGAGTCTGCCTCCGCCCACCCCGCCCAGGTCTCAGGCGCCAATGGAGGTGCGTTCAGCGGCGTTGCCTGCGGGTGAGTTCAGCTGGTGGGGCTCACACTGGGGCAGAGCTTATTCTCCTGGTGAAGGTGGCGCTGCTGCTGCTGCTTCCTCTGTACTTGGCCTTGTCCACTTCATGTCTCCTTTCTCCCCAACCCCACATTCACCTCCCTGGCCCTATGTACTTGCCCCTTTCTGCCAGCACCTTGCCCACAGCCTCCGGCGCCACCGTCAGCGATGTCAGCGACACCCTTCCCTGCCTGTGGCGCCCCCTGCTGTGAGTGCTCCTTTCCACACTGGACCCACCTGCCCCATGCATGCTTTCTGCACTCCTAGGGGTCCTCTGTCCACCTGATGCCATCAAGTCCAAACCGCTTCTCCACTTTCTTCCAGGGCAAACTTGGCCGCCGTAAAGGAGGCTGCGACCCCAAGACTGCGACCCGACGGCGTCCCCAAGCCCAGCCATTACCTCCGCCACCCGTATTGCAAACCCCAGAGCCCACAGAGCTGGTGAGGCCCTGTGGGGGGACCGGGAAGAGGCCAACTGTAATCTTAGCATATACCCTGACCCCCACCCCATTTGCCTCTGCAGCACCCCAGAGCCCTGGCCCCCTCGACACCTGCTGAGTTCATCTATTACTGTGTAGACGAGGATGAGCTAGTGAGTGGCCCCACTGCCCCGCCCCCAGACCTGATAAGCCTAGGCTGTCCTTGGGTACTTGGTTAACCTCAAAGAAACAGATGCTGTCATGAGCCTAATAGGAGTACATGAGGCACAGTGATTGGTGCTATTAAGATCTGAGCAGAGCATGATGGGAAGGGTGAGCGGTCACAGGGAGCAGCAGGCACTGCCATGTGTCACCTGAGCTGACGCTGGGCTGATACAGAACACGCTGACACGGGACTAAGAGCAACAGCACAAAGCCTAGGGTTACCAGAAGAGACAGACAGAATCAGCACAGTGATGGGAGCTAATAGGTGGTCAGTAACACCCCACTGGAGATGGGGCTTTAAGGCGTTGTTGTCCCAGGAGAGAGTGGGCTGCTGGCAGTAGAGTGATGGGTATGATGTTGGCAGAGCAGCCCTGATGATGGTGTGAGAGATGGTCAGCGCAGTGACAGTAGCTGTAGTGGACTAGCAGACACGGTGGTGGGTCTGGTGGCCAGTCGACAGGCTGAGGCCAGGTCTGACCGACCCCTTCAGCAGGGGAAGAGGCCACTGCTGCAGCGTTGTTTTGTTAATTGGTAGCGGACATGTCCTCTCTCATGTTCTAACGCCAGTCCACTCTCCCGCTCCAGCAGCCCTGTACCAACCGTCGGCAGAACAGGAAATGCGGGTCCTGTGCAGCCTGCCTGCGGCGATCGGACTGCGGCCACTGCGATTTTTGCTGTGACAAGCCCAAATTTGGAGGCAGCAATCAGAAGCGCCAGAAATGCCGTTGGCGCCAGTGCCT